AAGGGCCAGTAGTCATCATTCCCTACTGGCTCTCCGCGAGTGGCCTCTACAGGCAGCCGTCATGCCTCCAGCCATCGTGCCCTCAGGTGACCGGTCGCGCCCTCGGTGACGGGCGCACACGTGCATGCGCCTTTCGTGGCCCTTGTCATGCGTGACCTCAGAACCTGGCTGGCGACGGTCTCGCGTGTTCCGTCTTTGTTATCCTGCCTCGAGGACGGCGCGACTGTTGGGCCCTCCTAACAAGAACACTCACGGTTTAGACCCCTACAGCTGAACCAGCCGGTTGGCAGATCGATATGTCGGTCAGAGCTCCGGCTCACAGCCCATCGCGTGTTCTGCTTCGACGCTTACCTTGACTACAGCCAGTCAGAGGTAATGAGTTATGGATGCACATTGCCGGCAAAGAAAAGGGAGATTTGGATCGCTATTTCTGATATACTGACTTACACCCCTACAATCTCTCGTTATCACGCTCGAGCGATTTTGTCAACTTTTGTATTCAGTTCGTGAGCATTTTAATGCAGAGAAGACAGTTTTATACTTATCGCATCTGATCTGATTTTTATTGCTTCCTTCCAGATGATGTGTTCGAATGTTCCTCCGAAATGTGGGCCACTCCCAACCTTGCAGCGTCAATACACCTGGAAAAGCCCTGTGCCTTTAACTTTGTTAACGTTGCTGGTCCTAAAAGACATAATATACTCGTGGAAATAACAGGCCTCTCCTTTACCGGAGATATTGATTCAGCGATGACCGGCAGGCTGGATGAGGACTCGAGCGAACGGGACTTTACTGAGGAGGACGTAATGAGAGCAGAGGCTCACTGCCTCCGGCTTACGTGGGTAGACCATGTCGATGACTTCAACGTCACCTACCACGAGTCCAATAGAGCTCGTCGTGTTGTACGTTGTATTTTGAGTCCTTGCAAATAACAGCCTTGGAGTTTTACGGCTTTGAGATCTTGATATTGGCAACTTTACAAGCTTTCCGAAAGATGTTTTACTCTGCAACCGTAGATACTTGAGCGAATTGGTGAAATTGTTAGGAGTGTTGCCTGACCAAAGGCTAGCAACTTTGCAGGCTCTCCTGAGGCGTCGCGCCCGCCGCCGGCTGCCACGATGATTCCTTTGTCAACATGAGGACTGCCTTCAAGGTCATATGCCTTCGCGGTGGTTATGCACACGCGCGATGACTGTCCACACACGTAATGACCTTAAACCGAACACGCATGCACGCGAGCTTACGCACGTGCCAACCGGTCTCGTGACCTTATCCCAATGCGTCCAGTCAGGCCACAAGCGAACGCACCTGACAATCACTCATAAGACACGGTCACCTCTGAGTCATTGAGTTTCAACACGGACTGTGAGGACATCGTCAGTCTGCTCCCCGAGACCGGGCTAGTCCCGAAGCGGGGACATTCAGCGCGCTGGAGATTAACTAGCGGCAACTGTCATCCGAGGTAGCAACTCCGGGTTTTGTACACAGTAAACTCTCCTCCGTGTGGATTCCAAAATCACGCCCTTCTTATTGTGGACTTCCTTGGGTATTCCAACGGGTGTAATTAGACGGGGACACCACATAATTCACTGCTAAAACAGAAGTCCCTTTAGGTGTTTTGTCCAAATTGTAGGAGAGAACAGGGTTAATGTATTTGTGTACTTGCAGAAACGATCTGTTGAATAGTTTGGAACAAAATTACACTTGCCTACAACGTGGCATCACAGCGGTTTGCATTTAAGTCTATTTTCCGTCCTCTGTGTCAGATACGTCACATAATAATTCTATATACAGTACATTACCTACATAACGAAATGTCAACCAAAATTCAGGAACAGTTCAATATATTTAGGGTAGTAGACAGTGTTTCTGAAGACCCTGTTGAAAACAGTATGCATAAAATATCCATCATACAATATGTTACTAGAAAATGGTGAGTAGCATATGGACATGTACAATTTTTTATCTGTATGTGTGACCCAAGCGTTGGTGTCTTCTAACACTGCTTTTCTGTGCGTATTAACGGAATCTGTTAAGTAAATAAACATCTAGTTTGTGTTTTAATGCATCCGTCGAGTTCGCCATTATGACTTCCTCGGACAGTCCGTTCCAGGCACCGATGATTCGCTGTGAAAACGAGTGGCTGCGGACATCCAGATGGGATAAGGTTCCCCGGAGTTTGAGGGAATTCCCACGAAAGTTAGTTGATGTGGTAAATGCGAAAAAGCGCGTGCTTTTTTGGATGCGAACAGCTTACTTAAGTAGGCTTGTCATACTGATTATCGTACAGAATACTCACAAAATATTGCAATCTCCTTGTTCTCATAAAAGTGCACAATGGAAGTGGATCGTTTCTTTTCTAAGTTTATAACAAAATTTCTAAAGAGCATGTACCACAAAAACGTGAATTTTCGGAAACCCAGTTATTTTGAAGATGGCCATATGAAACATAATTATGAATCCCCGAAATAGCATAGGCGTTTTGTTCCAAATCTGGCGACTTCCGAGTTTCAAAAGATGAATTGGCGAACATATGTTTGTTTTCGAAAATTCTCATCAGGCCTTTACATTTATATGGTAATTAAGTAAATAAACTATGCGGGTTGGTAGACAAAATAGAACGGTTGTCAGGGCAGGGTGAATGGGAGGGGGGGCGGAACAGGGGTTGCAATCTGATCAGCGTTAGGGGGAACTGGTAGTCGGCTGAAATGTTAAGCTGCTGGCTGTTGGATTAGCAACTTTTGACCATGGTAACTACGGCGCCGCGACGTAATTCTTTTGGGCGCACAGGACCGGTCGGCGTAGCCTGATGGCGGCCGCTTC